ACACACACACACACACACACACACACACACACACACACACACACACACACACACACTGCTTAAAGACAAATTCCCTGAACTTAACGAGATGAAGGATATTTCACTGACTCAGTCCTCCACTGGAATAATTTCTGAAGATGTTTTGTTTTATAATTGTTCATTCATGCGTATGATATAAACACAAGACAGTGTGGTTTCCCCAATGTGTTTGTGTGTGTGTATGATCTGTGTGTGTGTGTGTGTGTGTGTTTTTTTATTGTGTTCCAGAAAAAACACACAGCTCATTAGATGAGGAGAGTCACCAGGGTCAAAGTCTGTCAAAACAAATACGCACGAGTTCTGTGATACAGAGAGGGAAACATCCAGGCCACTTTACTCTGCCAAACACAACACTGGACCCCCACCGCAGAACCACCGAGACGGATCATGACACACACCCGTGAATTTGTGTCATTGTACGTGTAAAAACCCTTCGCTTCCCTTGTTCATTATGTTTGAATGTATGAATGATTGATCTCAAACTGAAAAAATAAAGAAAAATTTCATCACAAAATTAGCAGCATTTATTATTTCTTTTTTTAAAAAAGCACATGGATTCTAGTATAGTTTATACCCGTGGTTCCTAAACTATTTTCCTCAAAACCCCCCATTCAAACCATGCTTAGCCCCGCCCCCCCAATCCCTCGCTACACCTCACCTCTCCCATGTTCAAGATGCGTTCAGCCTTTATGTCTTTATAAAAAATAATCAAATAAAAAGTAAATAATTACAAACTTACTTGGGAAATGAACAAAAGAAGAATTTTACAAAGTTTTAATTATTCAAACTGACTTGTTTTGGGGATTTTTTTAAATAAAAAAGAATAAATTAATATTTTCACAATGTCTGAGCAGACAAGGTTACCCTGCCCTCCAGGTTGGGAGCCACTGGTTTATTTAAACGAACAACCGCTTTCTGACTTTCAAAAGAAGAAAACAGAAACACTATGAAACTCCTTGGTTTAAAACTTTAGAGCTAAATTATTGTTTTATTACAAGTACTCAATCATATATTGCTTTTTTGTTTGTTTGTTTGTTTGTTTTTGTTTGTTTGTTTGTTTGTTTGTTTGTTTGTTTGTTTGTTTGTTTGTTTGTTTGTTTGTTTGTTTGTTTGTTTGTTTGTTTGTTTGTTTGTTTNGTTTGTTTGTTTGTTTGTTTGTTTGTTTGTTTGTTTGTTTGTTTGTTTGTTTGTTTGGTTGGTTGGTTGGTTGGTTGGTTGGTTGGTTGGTTGGTTGGTTGGTTGGTTGCTTGTTTGTTTGTTTGGTATTTTTTAATGGATGTACCTACAACTCTTTCCGTTTTGAAGTCAGTTCAGTTTAAGATAATTAAATGAAAATTAGTCATCACTAAAAAGCTATAAATTTGCCAGGTTAACAGATATTGAGCTTCAATTTTATATAGTAGTAGCTCACAACATACTCTGATCTTGACATCATGAATGAGATCACACATATTTATAATGTCAAGGTTTTAAGGAAATTGTTTGCTCCATCATGAATCAACATAAGATGAACTTAGTGTAGAAGGAGTTGAAAACATGCAGGGTCTTTAGTTTTTCGTTGTATCTGCCCCTGTGTTCGGTTACACACCTTGTTTCTTTTTGTTAATGTTTGAAAGTGCACGTTTCTCATCAGTTTGTGTGTTTCTGCCTGCATTTCTGCCTATTTATATGTTCAATTTGGTGTCATTTGTTTTGCTTGACTGAGTGTTTGTGTATGCGCGTGTGGTCTCGTCCTGTTCGTGTCGTCGCCGCGCCGCGGAGGTTTATTTTCACATGTGTGACGCTGCTCAGGCCGCTGCGTCTCTCACCGCGGGGACTCTGGCTCGTGTTATTTTGTGAGTGTCGGGTTGTGGTTTAGAGAGAAAGAGAGAGGCAACGCTGACAAAAGAAACAGACCGGGGCTTTATGTGGAGAGGGGAGATCAAGATGAACACCATATGATGATAATTATGTCAAACACTGGTTTTACACAAAATATTTATTTTTTTAACTAAAGACAGGTTTTTCCAATAAAATATCACATGACACAACTTTTTGTCTGCAGTGCCATGAAACTCAGTTGCATTACACAACAGTTGAAAAATGTTTTTGTGGCTTTGAAATGTCTGCTCCTTTTGACCTCCCAGAAATATGAGAAGTACTTTTCTTCCGAGTGTTTGTTAGAAAATGAACTGAAAATTCTTTGCTTTTGTGTAAAACTCGCTTGACGTTTGGACAACAACGTAACACAGGGTGGTGTGAGAGAGATAGAAACAGTGTGTGTACGTCTGCCCCAACAGAGACAACACCTTCTGGGTTAAAGGTCATCCCACCCAGAGTCCAGTCTGAGGGCCTCGGAGCTCCGGCTGCTGGGAGGTGTCACACAAACAGGCGGTGATGTGTTCTCCAGCAGTTTACCACTGGTTAAATAAATGGACAGACTCCCTTTGGTGCTGTTTAGCCAAACAGACAGACTACCTGAGAGGACACAAGTCTGAATGATTTTAGCACACTAAGAGAAACACAGATACAAACAGTGAGGAGCTGATGTCCTGTCAGTCAGGTCAGCAGAACTGAGCTCTGACAGATGCTAACATATTAGAGATACATACAAACATTGGCACATACAAAAGATTATATTATAT